CTTTAAAATGAATCTCAGAATGTTGTAACCAGGGGCGGACTGACCATTCGAGCACTCGGCACTGCCCGAGGGCCTGGGGTCAGTAGGGGGCCCCATGAGATGCCCCTGGTACCTTTCATAGGCTTTTTTGAGTGTGGTTTGAGTGTCGGCGAGGACACAGGGGCCCCATGACCCTCTATTGCCCGGGGGCCCCATGAGTTGTCAGTCCGCCCCTGGTTCTAACCAGACATGTAGAACTTGTTTCTGTTCCAAAACATGATGGTGGCTAATGTGGGAGTATAAAGGGTTAACCTACGTCTTTATAACAACACATACAATGTAAAAATTCTAGAAAATGCTAGAAGGTGATGTAAACATTGGTTACAATTGTTTGCTCATTCCCTCTAGTGCAGTGGTTCTCAACCTTTCTAATGCCGCGACCCCTTAATACAGTTCCTCATGTTGTGGTGACCCCCAACCATAAAATTATTTTCGTTGCTACTTCATAACTGTAATTTTGCAGTGGGAGGACTAGCGCCCCATCACTGATGTCAGTGGGAGGAATAGTGCCCCATCATTGGTGTCAGTGGGAGGAATAGTGCCCCATCATTGGTATCAGTGGGAGGAATAGTGCCCCGTCATTGGTATCAGTGGGAGGAATAGTGCCCATCATTGGTGTCAGTAGGGAGGAATAGTGCCCCATCATTGGTATCAGTGGGAGGAATAGTGCCCATCATTGGTGTCAGTGGGAGGAATAGTGCCCCATCATTGGTATCAGTGGGAGGAATAGTGTCCCATCATTGGTATCAGTGGGAGGAATAGTGCCCAATCATTGGTGTCAGTGGGAGGAATAGTGTCCCAATCATTGGTGTCAGTGGGAGGAATAGTGCCCCATCATTGGTATCAGTGGGAGGAATAGTGCTCCATCATTGGTGTCAGTGGGGGGAATAGTGCCCCATCATTGGTGTCAGTGGGAGGAATAGTGCTCCCATCATTGGTGTCAGTGGGAGGAATAGTGCCCCATCATTGGTGTCAGTGGGAGGAATAGTGCCCCATCATTGGTGTCAGTGGGAGGAATAGTGCCCCATCATTGGTGTCAGTGGGAGGAATAGTGCCCAATCATTGGCGTCAGTGGGAGGAATAGTGCCCAATCATTGGCGTCAGTGGGAGGAATAGTGCCCAATCATTGGCGTCAGTGGGAGGAATAGTGCCCCATCATTGGCGTCAGTGGGAGGAATAGTGCCCCATTGTGGGTGTCAGTGGGAGGAATAGTGCCCCATCATTTGTGTCAGTGGGAGGAATAGTGCCCAATCATTGGCGTCAGTGGGAGGAATAGTGCCCATCATTGGCATCAGTGGGAGGAATAGTGCCCCATTGTGGGTGTCAGTGGGAGGAATAGTGCCCCATTGTGGGTGTCAGTGGGAGGAATAGTGCCCCATTGTGGGTGTCAGTGGGAGGAATAGTGCCCCATTGTGGGTGTCAGTTGAGAGGAATAGTGCCCCATTGTGGGTGTCAGTGGGAGGAATAGTGCCCCATTGTGGGTGTCAGTGGGAGGAATAGTGCCCCATTGTGGGTGTCATTGGGAGGAATAGTGCCTCATCATTGGTGTCAGTGGGAGGAATAGTGCCCCATCATTGGTGTCAGTGGGAGGAATAGTGCCCCATCATTGGTATCAGTGGGAGGAATAGTGCCCCATCATTGACGTCAGTGTGGTGGAGGGGGGAATAGTGCCCCATCATTGGTGCCAGAGGGAGGAATAGTGCCCCATCATTGGTGTCAGTGGGAGGAATAGTGCCCCATCATTGATGTCAGTGGGAGGAATAGTGCCCCATCATTGATGTCAGTGTGGTGGAGGGGGGAATAGTGCCCCATCATTGGGGTCAGGGGGGGTGTCAGTGGGGGGGGGAATAGTGCCCCATCGTTGGTGTCAGTGAGGGGAGGAATAGTGCCCCATCGTTGGTGTCAGTGGGGGGAGGAATAGTGCCCCATCGTTGGTGTCAGTGGAGGGAGGAATAGTGCCCCATCGTTGGTATTAGTGACACAAATGATGGGGCACTATTCCTTCCACTGACACCAATGATACTTACCTTGCTGACCCCTGCTCCAGCCTGGGCTCTCTCCCTCTCCCATCTACAGCCTGCAGCAGCAAAATTTGCACTTACCTGTCAGCTGTCTTCCTTCTCTGGCCGCTCTCCTCTTCACTCGCTCCTGCTGCTCCCTCGATCTTCTTTGATCTACGCGCGCTGCCGTTCGGCTCCTCCTCTCCAAGCTCCACCTCCTCGCCGGTGATTGGCCGCCTGTGTGCCTCTCCTGAGCTACAGTTCCGGTGGCCAATCAGCGGCGAGGAGGCGGAGCTGTTGAGTGATCCCAGAGGTGTGGCCAGGTGACAGGGGCAACATATCATCCCGCCCACAGATCGCCTGAGACAGGAGCGGTGTCTCGGTTCCTAAGACCATCGGAAATATGTGTTTTCCGATGGTCTTAGGCGACCCCTGTGAAATGGTCGTTCGACCCCCAAAGGGGTCGCGACCCCCAGGTTGAGAATCGCTGCTCTAGTGTCTTCCAGAATTGTTACATTGCATCTCTTCTTGTTCTTCATCACCATCTACTGGCCATATGGCGGTATTTTACTACTGTCCAAAATAAAGGAACATTCATTCAAGAGAAAATACCCCTAAGAACATTCGTTTTTGTCCAAATCACAGTGAATGTACATGCAGGGTCACTGAATGAATGGCTATGGATTTTTTTTTTTTAAATAAACCCCTTAATGTTATATCCACCAAGTAAACATCATATTACTGGCCTTCATTTTGGGGTGTACTGTAGTTGTGATAGTCAGATGTCCACTTTTTGGCCATTTAGTGTACCTTAAAAAGTCAACATTTTGCCTAGTCATGCTTTTGAGATATAAGAAATTTATATCAGTTTTAATTAATCCCAACCACAGCACTACCTGCCTGGAGTTTGCATGTTCTCCCTGTGCCTGCGTGGGTTTCCTCCGGGTACTCCAGTTTCCTCCCACACTTCAAAGACATGCTGGTAGGTGAATTGGATCCTGTCTAAATTGTCCTTAGTATGTGTATGTATGAATGTGAGTTAGGGACCTTAGATTGTACACCCCTTGAGGGTTAGGGACTGAAGTGAATGTACAATATATATGTAAAGTGCTGCGTAAATTGATGGCGCTATATAAGTACCTGAAATAATATATATATATATATATATAAATAAAATAATAATAATAAAAAAAAAAATAAAAATACTTAGATCAAGGTTTGATCTAGGTCAGTGCCAGGGTTATTGTTTGAGTCAAGGTCAGGGTCAGGGTCAGGATTTAGTTTTTTTTTTTTATTATCAGTGTATGTATGAATGTGAGTTATGCAGGCCAAAAAACGAAACATCGGTTGTTCTGTAAACCGATGTTGCCACCAATGATTGCAAAAATCGGCCGTTTTTCACAAATTTTCCAGCATGACCGATAAAAGAAATGAGGAGGAACCGCGAAAAATCGGCCAATGCCATTGCCCAATAACAGTGCGAAAATCGGCCGACTATTCTTTCGGACGAAAAATCGTCTGATAAACAAACCGTCTATGGCCTGCATTAGGGACCTTAGATTGTACACCCCTTGAGGGTTAGGGACTGATGTGAATGTACAATATACATATATGTAAAGCGCTGTGTAAATTGATGGCGCTATATAAGTACCTGAAATAAATAAATAATACAGTGGGAGCGATTATTACACTAGGTTCACACCTAAACATTTTCCGCAGCATTTTTCAGAAATGCAGTACAGTCCATTTAACATGATTTCCTATGGGACAGGTTCACATCTCTGCGTTTTCACCCAGTGCGTTTTTTGGTAAGGGTCTGGGACAGGGGCGGACTGACAACTCATGGGGCCCCCGGGCAATAGGGGATCATGGGGCCCCTGTGTCCTTGCCCAAACTCAAAAAAGCCTATGAAAAAAGGTACCAGGGGCATCTCATGGGGCCCCCTACTGACCCTGCTTCCAAATGGTCAGTCCTCCCCTGGTCTGGGACTTTTTTTGAACGCAGAAAGTTGTGTTTTTGGTTCTATAGACTTTAATGGAAATGCTGCAGAAAAGCATGTATTATGTTTTTTGCTGAGCTTTGTGTTTTAAATCTGCCTAGCAAAAAGAAAAAGAAAAAAAAAAAAAAAAAAAACGCAAAACGAGCATGTGCAAAAATGCAAAAAGCAATGAAGAAATGGCTCAGATGCAACCTGCATAGGTGTGAACCTAGCCTTAGATAGATTTGGGTTCCTGATCAAGAGTGCTGGTGAATTTTCACACTTGTAATGAATTGCTTCTCCAACCTGAACCCGCTACAGATGCTTCAGCCACTGTTTTCTCTCATCCCATGTATTGGCTCAATCACGAGCTGCACTCCCCTAAAAAAACGCTTTTGACAATCTCCACTTCTCCATGCATCACTCCTGTTTTCTACACATTTAAAATATAAGAAACCTTTTTTTTTTTAATTACAGTAAAATAGTTTATTACAAAATCTGCCTGTAAACAAATAGTAAAACCATCTGAAAACAATCAATGGAAGTGCAATACAGTTCATAAATTGCCTACACATCTGTCCGGAGGCGTCGGCGCCAACGTGATTCCTGTGATGGCAAACTGTAAGAAACCAAAAAAAAAAAAACCTAAAAAAGAGAAAAAGGAAAATAAACGTCTGTACGGACCTGCGTACAAAAATGTTCAAGTTTTAAAACAAACGTAGATAATGGCGTCTTCCTCTGAGCCCAAAGCAACTGGTCAGACACAGAGCATGTCAGGAGGCACAAAGTTGCTCGCGGGCGCCATCATCCAACCGCCACAGAACTCGTAACGCAACATTGTAAAGTCTTTTCTTATTAAGGCATAAATTAGAAACAAGTATCTGAGTTCTAATTTGGGTTTGTCTATCGCCTTCTACGTCTCCCGCTCACAGAAGAACAAGTCCAGTGTTTTTTTGTTGGGGGGGGGGTGGGGGGGGGGGCACTCAGAGCACGGACAGGTCGTGGCAGGATTTGGACTTCTGTTTGAAAGCCATTTTCTTGTTGTTTTTGGCCACAATCTTCCCCAGGAACCTTTTAGCTTTCTTGCCTATGCTCTCCCGCCTCTTGCTGCTCGCCATCCGCCGGGCGTTGTCCTCCTTGCTGTCCTTGCGTAGTCTGATTTGGCGCACAATGCCTTCGAACAAGTCTTTGACATTGTGGTGCAGGGAGGCCGAGGTCTCGATGAACTTGCAGTCAAACACGACGGCGCAGGCCCGGCCCTCTGAGGGAGGAGGAAGAAACACGTTACTTAATGTAATAAAATGTATCTCTTCAAATATGTTCAATATTAAGACCTCAAATATTCTGACTTCCTTTTCCTAGACAGAAAATTCCATTCAATTTTATGGGCAAAGACAAAATGATTTTGTTTTGGATGGGTTGGAGCCCCTGTCAGGTTTTTATTGCTTGGGAAACAGGATTGCACTGAAACACTGGGGTTGCTTTTTTAAATGTATTATATATATTACTATATTCAATATTATGCCTATTATTATTAATAATAATATTAATGTTTATTATTTTTTATTATTGTTTTTATTTATTTTAGATTCTTGTATTACTATTAATATTATTTGTTTTATTAATATTGTTGGATTTGTATTTATTTACATTTATTTTACATTCTTGTATTTATTTGTATTATTATTATTATGTTTTATTATTATTGTTGCTTTTTAATTTATTTTAGATTCTTGCATAGTTTTTTTGTTATTATTTTAATTATTATTATTGCTTTTTATTATTATTTTTGTTACTTTTTTTTTTAGTTGTTTCAGATTCTTATATGGTTTGGCAGTGGTATAAATGTAGCACATCTGAATATTGGGCAGCTTTTACACACCAGAGGATTTTCACAATCACTCTGAATGAGTAAATCTAGAAGTGAAGTCGCTATGATGAAGTCCAAATTATGTCCAAGTGTTCCATGTAGAAGATTTTTCCTGTTTTGGTGACAACTCAACATCATCTCTCGCTTTAAACCTCAATGTTGGTTAATGGACAATTAAACAGGGTGACTCTCCCCAGTGGAGAAACAGACAGGAATAAATACCAGTTTTTATTACAATGATTATAATGTGCCTCTATCAGAGGTAGAAGATGATTGTAGCTAAGAAGAGAAAAATGATATGCAATCCTCTTCTGGTATTTAGGATTATACAAAGCAGAATATATATACATACTCTATACACACATATATTTATATTCTCTCTCTCAAAAAAAAATGTATGTTTAAATGAATGCTGGTCCTTCATGCTGAACATTTTTCTTATGAAGCATTTGCGAAACAAAATATAGTTTTATAAATATTCATGTATTATTTATGTATCATTATTTACTTATTTTATATAATTTTTATATATTCTATATATGAATTTTAATATAACTTATAACTATATCTACAATGTTTTAAATATTTTCATTTAGATTACTAAACTTTTATAATGTCATTGATTGATGGATTTCCATAAAGTGTAAGCTAGATCTTCATTATATTAGATATTATAATGTCTTGTATAAAATAACTTTTATAATGTCATTGATGGATTTCCATAAAGTGTAAGCTAGATCTTCATTATATTACATATATTTGTTTTAGGAAATATTATACTATTTTAGCAGTACTGATATAAATTCTATATTCGATATTTTAGCCCTGATGAAGGGGGATTAGTAAGCCCTTGAAATGTGTCGGCTGTTTACTTTTTGGCAATTCCTACAATAAGGATATAAAAAAGAAATCCTGCTCACCATCCACAGAGACTTCCCGCGATCTGACGAGGTCACTTTTATTCCCAACCAGGATAATTGGGATATCCTCAGACTGGCGAGCCCGTCGAAGCTGGATTCGGAGCTCGGAGGCTTTTTCGAAGCTGGATTTGTCTGTCACGGAGTACACAATAACATAGGCGTCCCCCATCTTCATACATTGGTTGTGGAGCCAGTGATTGTCATCCTGGAGAAATAAAAACATGACAATGCTCAGTTGTGGGCCAGATGTATCACATATATGTTATTAATTATAATATCACGTATATTTTATTAATTATAATATCACATATATGTTATTGATAATATCACGTATATATGTTATTAATTATAATATCACGTATATCTTATTAATTATAATATCACGTATATGTTATTAATTATAATATCACATATATCTTATTAATTAAAATATCACGTATATCTTATTAATTGTAATATCACATATATATCTTATTAATAATATCACGTATATCTTATAAATTATAATATCACGTATATTTTATTAATTATAATATCACATATATGTTATTAATTATAATATCATGCATATCTTATTAATTAATAATATCACGTATATATTATTAATCATAATATCATTTATACTATGTTATTAGTTACAGTCAATCATCATATACTGTGTATGTCATTAATTATATTATTACATATTTGTTAATTATTTTTATAACAGCCTATTTATAAAGATCATTCATTAATCCTTCTTAAATTGTACACAGGATAACATCTTGCTCTTCTAAGTCATCATAAGGGTTTAGGCGTCTCGGGGAGACCATATACTGTAAAATCTGAACTCCAAATGAATGCAGATTTGCATTTATTTTTGCATCATATCATGCATTTATTTTAATAAAATAGTTTAAGTACCTGAATGTGACCTATACAGCAGAGCTCAGATTTGGGGAAGGGGGAAGCTGCACAAGAAGCCAATCAGTTGTGCTTGAGTGCTTATGTGCTAGCAAGGGGCGTGCTGATTGGAGAAGAGAGGAGAGTGACAGAGGGACGAGCTTGTCAGTCTGCTGTCTCTTCTAGATATGTTAATGAACTACAGCACAGAAATGCTGTGTGGCAGAACTGTGTAAATCTCAGGTCTGTATGCACAGAAATAAAGATTCCTTGGCAGGCAAATCATCTCTCATATATGTATGTAATCTGTGTGTTTTGCCATTTCCTTGGAGTTCAGCTTTTAGTCATCATTTAACAAATATGGAAATATGGATAGTGCTCTTCCTATAGAGCATCTTGAAGCTGAGCTCCATGCTAATAAATCCATTTGCCATGTGTATTTTTCTTGAATCTCGATGTGTATTTGTGTATTTTTTCCAGATCTGTGCAGTTATCCAGTGTGTGACTTCCTGTAATAAAGACCGCTCACTGCTGCTCTCTCTCCTTGTACAGGGTGTCTGGTCTTGTTGCCTCCCTTTCCTGTAGTTTCCTGCAGGCAACCTGTAGTGGGTGGAGCCTGGTGGGTCCCTCCTACAGCTCCATTCTCTGCACAGGCTATGTACAGCACAGTGATGATGCCATTACAAGATAACATCTGGGTTTGCAAGCATTTGGTACATTTATTGAAGAATATATTTAAATTAAAGTTTTTGTGTCTGGAGTTCAGCTTTAAGGTTGAGACCATAATAAATCACCCAATGTAAAAAAACAAAAAAAAATCAGCTGTACGGAATTATTGTCACTTCAGCCTGATAAAACTAAAGACTGCAGAAAAGTACAGAATACATAAAATCCATAAACTTCCATAAAGAAGTGAATAATGATAATGAAGTACCTGCTCCCAAATATCGAAGACCAATAGGCTGGCTTCTTCCCCATCCACCATTATTGATCTGTCGTATGTGTTTCCTAAAAAAAAGAAAATATTGCATTTTTAACAAAAGAAGTTTGAAAATCAAACAAAAGTTGTGACAAAGTTATAAAGTTGGTTTTGGCATTTAGTACGGACATGAGAAGTGCGCCAGGCGGTCAATTGGAGAGACCACATACCAGAGGGGTGGAGTCTAAAACCCAATCATGGACAATGAACAAAGACAGAGGGGCTCCAGGGTGCCTGGTGGCACAGGCTCACCTTATAAGGCACCTTTCAGGACAGTCACCATCTGTCATGGCTAATATACAGTCATTTAATAATAGAACTAATTCTAACACAAATCTGATACGTTTCAAAGGGCCAAGCACACTTCTTCAGGGCTCAGGTGTTGTAAGAGGTAGGACCCCTAAGATAGACGATCGCCATGGAAATGTCATAATATTATTAAAATATTTTACACTTTTATGACATCTCCTTGGTGATTTGGCATTTTAAGAATACCTGAACCAAGAAGACGTTTGTTGTGCTCCCGAAACGTGTCAGCTGTTTTGTGTTACCCCGATGTGAACTCATTTTTTCACTGAAAGGCTTTGGTGGTTTGTTTGGCTCTCTCTTTAGACGGTAGATACATAGATTTTTAAATTTAGGAACCTCCTTTTTAAGGCGTGTCCCCTACTTTTTTTTATTATTTAGAGGGAGAGTATAATTCGGGTAGTTTAGTTTATATGATGTAGTATTCTTTCTGTTTGTGTTTTTTCCTTATGTGATTATATGGTTGAAAAGAGCTTCCGTAACCCTCAAAAGAAATTTAAAGCCCACTGACCATTGAACCCCTCTACACCCAAGAAAACTTCCAAAAACCACCCTAATATTGCCCTCCCCATTGACTACAATGCATTTAATCAGAAACTGATCTGATATCTCTAGATATTTTAGGGAAATGAGAACTCTTAGTTTTGCTCATCCCCAAGTCCACCTTAGGCATGCAGTTCTGTTGGTTTGTAGTGTGAACTCACCTGCTTCTTCTACATCCTGAAGATCCTCCACACCTCCAAAGATCCTGGCTAGGCTGGACTTGCCCACGCCGTGCTCACCGAGCAAGATGACTTTGAAGAGGTGGTCTTCTGAGTCACTTCCAGAGGATATGACGGAGTCTGAGGAATCAGAGGCCCAGCTCTCGCGCTGTTCATCGGCGGGGTTGTAGGAGGGATAGCGGACCAGTTTGGAGAGCTCCCCGGCGGGAGATTTGCCTCGGAGCTCCTTGTCGTCGGCTGGCATGCTCCTCCGGTGGAGCTGCTGGTGCATGGCTAATGGCATGCTGCTCCGTCTCTTCTCCAGGCTCTTGATCCGGTCGCTGCGGTTCAGGGTCATTGCTGAAAGAGGACCATAACCAACATTAATTCCTGCAGCCCCAAAAACAACTGAAATGATTCGGAATAGCGAACATTGCATTACATTTTTTTAAGGGTTGTTTTCTCAGTTATCAACACCTGCCAGATGTGCAGAAGAAAGCTCCAAAATTTGAAATTTCATTTTATTCAGAATCTTGTATCATGGTAAGCCAACGTGTTTCAGGAGTTCACAGGGTCCCCCTTTATCAGGGAAACAAATAACTGAATAATAAAGGGACACCTCTTTAACTCCTGAAACGTGTTGGGTTTTTTATAATACGAAATTCCTAATAAATTTAGTTTGGACTAACCTTTATATGAGTTAAGAGCCAACCTCTAACCACCCCTCCCGGGAGAACCTCCTCAGGATAACCATTCCCTCTACACTACTTGAGACCTGACCGGGGATATCCCTTGAAATATGAGATTCAGCCCCTCACACCTTCATTCTACCTTCTTCTAAATGCTGAAGATTGGAGGTTCTCCCACAATTTATCTGTTTTTATATTACGGCACCAGCTCATTGTTGTAGAGTAGACCTTCAGTGGGGTTGGGGATTTTGGCATGCTGAACTGGAAGGGATGGCTTTCTGCAAACAACTGACAAAGGACATCAGCCATGTGTCAGGTCTGTTCTCATCATGAAGCATTGTTGCCTCCTAACTGCCTCTGAAAGCACCCGAGCCATCTCCGAAGCTTCATCATTGTCCCTTCATAGATCAAATTCACCTTCATGAATGAATCATTGGGACCTGAGCCCAGTCCTTTAAATAATTCTCCTGTGAAATACAAACCTCAATGCATAGACACCACACTAGCTATGAGAAAACAGCGGATCCCGAGGGGGGTGAATGCCTCGGGAGCTCAGGGTTGGGGTCTTTTTGTCTTTCCTCATCTACATAAATTAATAAAGACAGTATTTAATAAAACTTTTCTTGCTATATCTGGCATTTGCCCCCATAATTTCCACCTTCCCCTCAGCCTTGGGGGCATTTAAAGGGCCATCAACTATGGAAACATATCAGTCAGTATCGAACTAAAAATATCAGCCATCAAGCACAGGCAAAGACATTCACCAATGGAAGAAGCCAAACCAGACCAAACGATAAAAGAGTCCAAATTTATTGACTGGTTTACATAAAAAAAAACAGCTGTTAGGCACAGTGTGGTCAGCCACCTCTTCCATTGCCAGGGAACTACAAGTCTGAGCAAGCCCTGCTTGGAATTCCATCTCCTGGATGGTGGTCAGTGTTCCAAACCTTGGACTGGCACATCATTTAACCCTTTCCATACTGCTCTGTTTTAAAACACATTTTCATACCTTCCTTTACATCTTAAAGCTTTCATGTAAGTATTGCACAAACAGTCTGTGTAAACTCAAATTGTACAATTGTTAACTATCTCTGTATAGTAGACACATGGAAGGGGGCACTTGGCTGGTCTGGGGAGTCATTAGCTCTGTGGTTTTGTAGGAGACCCCACCAAAGATGATGAGTTTATAGTGAAATAATTATCATTATTTATCTCATTTCATTCAATGCCTTTAAATGCCAACACCGGACTTTGCTAAGTCATGTGATTGCCAGGCAGCTCATACACTGCCATGTTCCCCGTGTTGTGGGCTTCTGATAGATCAGTGCAAGGTATGCTGAATCTAGAATCATTTATTGTAGTCCAATGATAACAGGAATTCCATTGCAACCCAAATGATATACTGCACCAGTGAAATGTATCACCATCACACAATACCTGATGGACTTCAAACTATATATTGTATGAATGTATGGATTGTACATGCATGAAATGATATGTTGTATCACCATCACGTGCAGACAATACTCGATGGAATTCAGATAATACATTGTACGAATATACTGTAATGAATGGATTGTACACACGTGGAATGATATATTGTATCAGGGCAATCTGTCACAACCATGTGCAGACAATACTTGATGGACTTCAGATGATACAATATACCAGCCATTCACAACTAGGGTTCCTCCAGAGATTGCTAGGGGTTCCTTGAACTGTGGCTACTTGAGCTCCCATCTGATGGTGTTTTCATGGATCCAGGTCCATCAACACTTGGCAGAACCAGTAGCACCATCAGACATTACTTGATGGACTTCAGATAACACATTGTATGATTACACCGTAATGAAGGATTATACATACATGGAATGATGTATTGTACCTGTGCAATCTATCACGACCATGTGCAGACAATCACAACCATGTGCAGACAATACTTGATGGACTTCGGAGAATACATTGTACGAATATACCATAATGAATGGATTGTACACACATGGAATGATATATTGTACCTGTGCAATCTATCACAACCATGTGCAGACAATCACAACCATGTGCAGACAATACTTGGTGGACTTCGGAGAATACATTGTACGAATATACCGTAATGATATATTGTACCTGTGCAATCTTTCACAACTATGTGCAGACAATACCTGATGGACTTCAGATGATACAATATACCAGCCATTCTTAACTAGGGTTCTTTGAACTGGGGCTAACTGAGTTTCCATCTGACCGTGTCTTCATAAATCTGGGTCCATCACCACTTGGCAGAACCAGTGGCATCATCAGACAATACTTGATGGACTTCAGATGACACATCGTATGAATATATCTTAATGAAGGATTATAGATACATGGAATGATATATTCTACCTGTGCAATCTTTCACAACCATGTGCAGACAATACTTGATGGACTTCAGATGATACACTATACCAGCCATTCTCAACTAGGGTTCCTTGAACTGGAGCAACTAAGTTCCCATTTGATGGTGTCTTCATGGATTTGGGTCCATCACCACTTAACAGAACCAGTGGCACCATCAGACAATACGTGATAGACTTCAGATGATACAATATACCAGCCATTCTCAACTAGGGTTCCTTGAACTGGGCTAACTGAGTTCCCATCTGATGGTGTACTTTCTTCATGTATTTGGGTCCATCAACACTTTGCAGAACCAGTGGCACCATCAGACAATACTTGATGGACTTCAGATGATACACTATACCAGCCATTCTCAACTAGGGTTCCTTGAACTGGGGCTAACTAAGTTCCCATCTGATGGTGTCTTCATGGATTTGGGTCCATCACCACTTAACAGAACCTGTGGCACCATCAGACAATACGTGATGGAATTCAGATGATACAATATACCAGCCATTCTCAACTAGGGTTCCTTGAACTGGGGCTAACTAAGTTCCCATCTGATGGCATCTTCATGGATTTGGGTCCATCACCACTTAACAGAACCAGTGGCACCATCAGACAATACTTGATGCACTTGATGATACATTGTATGAATATCCCGTAATGAAGGATTATACATACATGGAATGATATATTGTATCTGTGCAATCTATCACAACCATGTGCAGACAATACCTGATGGACTTCAGATGATACATTGTACGAATGTATGGTGATGAAGGATTGTACATACATTGAATGATATCTTGTATCAGCGTCAGATGATACTTCATGGAGTTTAGATGACGCATGGTATGAATACACTGTAATAAAGGATTGGCCATACATTGAATAGTATACTGTATGCCCATCTGAGGATACATCGCACCAATATACCGGAATACATACAGTAAATGACAATCTCCTAAAGTGCCTCACAAACCAATGAAAGGTAATCTTGCAATCCATTGCTAATCTCTGGGGATCCCAAGAAATGATCCAGACACCCCAGAACCTCAGGTACCACATGGGAGCAAAGTACAGCTGAATGCTTTCATGCAGCGCTGCAGTCTATGTTGGTGACATAGTTAAAGATCTTCTGCAAAACTAATCAAGAGATGTGCAGAATGGGAATTGCTGCCAAGTCTGGAGTGCTGCTACAAGGAAGGGGCCAGCATGGATTACTGCAAGCTTTAATGACATGAAACACAAAACGCCCACTTACTTGTGGCTGGCAGTGTCGGTTATAATCCCAGGGGAGGCAGTGAGCAGTCCTGTGCAGTTATGTCCCTGTGACAGGCTGTGTGCTGATCCTGCTGCAGGCTGGTGTCTTATGTATGCCTGGAGGGGCTGACGTCACAGGGAGCCCAGCATATGGGAGCCCAGGATCCTCCCCACTTCCATATCAGTCCAGATGTGACATCACACAGCACTCTGCTTACTCAGACCCCCCCCCCATCCCCCATCTGGACCACTAAATACCCAGCCCGATGCCACAGGAGTTCTGCCATCCACATCTGCCACCCTTCCAGAATATACTGAATGGACAGGAATGGTTCTCCCCAGACAACACTGCACTACTTAACCCTTTCAGGGTTGTCAATGGTTGGATGTGTGGATCTTTTATCTGCAGATCCGCAATCTTGGTGGAAAATAACTGACTTTGCTGAAATCTCATTGAAGTTTGCTATATGGACTGATTATAAAAAATGTGTAAAACAAAAAAGTATGGAAAAACAATTTTTTTTAAATGTTTTGAATGAAGTGATGAGGGGTTTTGTATCGCTGGGGAGACTCCTCCTCTCTATTTGTCCTGGTGTCACCGAGAAAGCAATGATGGGAAATCCAAATATGTTACAGTTGTCACCAAAACAGGAAGTGAGGGGAAATCTTCCAATGGGGACACCTTTTTAGTAGGAGATTTCCCTCATATTGGAGAGATTTTCTCATTTCTGGTTGTGTCTCCAAGACAGGAAGTGAATGGAAATCTCCCCAGTATGACAAAGACTGCACAGATGAACCTGATAGGGTTGTTTTTGGCTTCTTCCCTACTACTTCCCTTAAAGCTGAACTCTGAGATAAGTAAATATTGGCTAAGTCCATTTGTCATGTGTATTTGTCTTGAATGTTGGTGTGTATATCTTCCAGATCTGTGCAGTAATCCAGTGTGAGGCTTCCTGTAATGAAGACCACTCACTGCTGCTCTCCCTCCTTGTGCAGGGTGACTAGTCTTGTCTCCTCCCTCTGC